AGAAAGTGACTTTCCTGCACACAGGGCTACTGCAGTGTCCCCTGGCCCCTCCCAGTGGCATTTCCATGTGTTTATTCCTTCACTGGGTCCATGAATACCTACGGAGGACTGACTGTGAGTCGGTCAGTCTTCTTCAAAATTTCAAATACACAGTGCATCATCAAGGTCTTCCTCTTTCCATTTCACAGATGAACCGAGGTTCAGGGAGGCTTGCATGCCTTGCCTAATGCTGTGGGATGCGTTAGCAGAGGAGCAGGGCTTTGTACCTCAGGCCAGCACAGGCTAATTCCCAATCCTCCTCTTCCCTGTGTCCCTGGCCCCTTCCCACCACAAACCCCCTTCCCAAACAGGAAAGAGCTGGCCTTGGTCCTGGAGATCATTCTCCAGCTCTGGGGAGACCCGATGCTCCTTGCTTCCACCCCCGCTCCATCCATTCTGTCTCCCACAGGTAAGGAATTGCCTGACATTTTGTGGTCCCAGTGTAGCAAGAGCCAACCAGCAACGAGATGAGGATGAGTCACAGGAGGGAAGGGTGGAGGCGGCAGAAGGAGGCCTGGTCAGTCTTCCCTGGTTGGAAGCAGTGTGTGTGTGTGTGTCGGGGGGTGGGTGGGGTGGGCCTGCCTGAGAAGTGCTTGCTGAGCACCCCTCCCCCTCCTGATGCTCACCGCAGGACCACCAGGCGACAGGCAGGGAGAGAGGCATTGGGATTTTTCTCCCCAGGCAGGCCCAGAGCAGGGGCTTTGGGGGCAGGGAGGCACACCACCAAGGGATTCTAGAAAGCCCAGATCCCTGGCTCCACTCCCTGTGTGACTGGATCAACACATTCCTCCAGGAATGGTCCCACTAACCTGGGCTTGACCCCTGTCACCCAGAGCTGCCCCTTGCCACTGACCCAGCACCCACACTGTGAGGCCCCTGTTTCCCCTGGACTGCCAATATCAACCCTAGCCATAATGACTTAGCACTTGCACCTGCTCTCTTAAAGGCCCAATAACCCCAAGCAGTTGGCCCCATCGTTCTTTCCACTTTACAGATGAGGGAACTGAGGTCCAGACAAGTGAGAAATTGCTCCAGGTCTAGTGGTTCCAGAATCCCAGGCCTCAATCATAGCAGGCCTCTGCCAGCCTCTCCCCTATACTCCCATCCCCAACTCCAAGAAGAGGGTGGTGTCACTATCTCCCAGCCCGGAGACTCCCCTAGACTAGACACAAGCCTGGCTCCCCCAGCCTCTCTCCTCCCCACGGGCTAACACTAACCTCATGGCAACCAGTAAAATCCCTATCTTTCCTTTCAAGTTCCCATCAGGAACGTGGGCAGTCCCTGTCCACCTCCCTTTCCCAGCACCCCACCTCCACCTGTGCAGGTGCAAACACACAGGCACACTCATGCATACTCTCTCACCCACCCCTATCACCCTTGCCCACGTGAGCCCAGGGGCAGACAAGGCCACAGCTGCTCCCATGCTCCCACTGGACCAGAGAGTGACAGTCAGTCTGTCATGGGCTGGCCATCTCCTGGCTCCACGCCCAGGCTCCTGAGGCGCCTCAGGAGGAATGCATCAAAGCAGAAGCATCACAATCATAGGAATGAACCACAAATAAGTGTGTCCCGTCTAAGGACCTTCCATGACATGACTATGACCAGTTCTGAGAGGCACAACACGTCTACTGCATCTCCCAGTGCGACAGAGGCCACAGAGCTGGTTCTCACCCACAGCCAGGGTCCCCACCTCCTCCTCTCACCCTGCGGGATCTGGTCTTTGTCCTGTATTGCGAATCCCACGGACAGCTCCTTGTTACCATGCTCCCGTGAGCCCCTACTCCCGCAGCATTAGGAAGACACTTGGCAAACCTCACAGCAGCCTGACACTGAACTGCCTAATGCCCCGTGAGTAAAGATGCACTATGGCAGGAAAATCAATAATAGAAAGGCATCCTGGGAGTGTTCCCAAGCTGGATGCGCGGGACTTCTGAAAAGGCTAGAGTGCTAGTATACTGAACTAAGCTGCTGCCTGCGATGCGGGCAGCCCACATCGGAGCGCCAGTTCTAGGCCTGGCTGCTGTGCCTCCCTGCTAACGCACCTGAGAAAGCAGTTGGATACGGGGCCCAAATGCTTGACTGCATGCACCAGGTGCGAGGCCCAGCCAATGAGGAGTGAATCAATGAATGAAAGTTCTCTCTCTCTCCTTCTTTCCATTACCGTCTTTCAAATAAATCTTAAAAAAAGAAAAAAAAAAAAAAGAGGGCCTTAGCACAGTATCCTAGCAGCTAAAGTCCTTATGCACGCACCTGGATTCCATATGGGCGCTAATTCTAATCCCGGCAGCCCCACTTCCCATCCAGCTCCCTGCTTGTGGCCTGGGAAAGCAGTTGAGGACGGCCCAAAGCCTTGGGACCTTACACCCATGTGGGAGACCTGGAAGAAGCTTCTGGCTCCTGGCTTCAGATCGGCATATCTCCAGCCATTGTAGTCACTTGGGGAGTGAATCATCAGATGGAAGATCTTCCTCTGTCTCTCCCTCCTCTCTGTATATCTGACTTTGCAATAAAAATAAAGAAATCTTAAAAAGAAAAAAGAAAAGGAAAACAGGTATGGAGGAATACAATAGGGCCTCTAAAAAGGTGTATTAGGAAGGTGGGTACGGGGTGGAGGTGGAAAGTCTTCCCTCCCCTCCAGCTCTGTATGAACCTTTTCTCCCACACAGAAGGAGCCGCCCTAGCAGCGCTGAGCCAGCCCCTCGCCAGCACCATGCAGCAGGAGCTAGGAAGGTGCTGACCAGGACACAAGGGGAGAGATTTGCACCGTAGGTGGCCATGTTTGCTGGAGGTAGCCTCGGAGCTCTGGGTGTCTCCATCCCATTTCATCGTGAGGCATCTCCAAGGCTGCACCTGACTCTCTGGAAGTGTTCCAAAGTCAGGGATTGTGTCCTGCCCTCCCCTAATGCCCCAGAACCCTGGACCTTCCCTGGGAACACGGAAGGACACAGCTAAGACTCCTCCACCAAGGAAGGTGAGACTGGCTCAGCCCAGTGTGTGCACTGAGCCTCCCTGTTCATGGCCACCAAGGGACACAGAACTTCAAGATTATCCCTGTGCATGTAAGGTGGGGATCCCTGCCCTGGTGGCCCTTGTCAGTTCTTCCATGCAAAGCTCTGGCTTGCATGCTGCCAGTGATGGGGTGCTCACTCCTCTGAGAGCAGCCGGGATCCTTCCCTTCTGCCCCTCAAAGACCTGCAGGTAGAAAAGATAGCAGAAGGAGTGACACACGTGAATGGCATACATGCACGTGTGTGTGTGACTGGTCGCCTTGCCCCTTCTTAGATCTTTCCCCCATGGTACCTTGGGGGTCATTCAAACCACATCCAAGCCACTAGCACCACCCCAAAGCAGCCCTGGCCCAGCGTCGTTGTTTGGTTACTAATGGATTCAGTCATCCGTTATCGGCTTTCACTGGCCAAGTGCTTGGCTGGGAGCAGAGCTGACGACTCCGTGGATTTAGTCACCTTGGTAATGATAGCAGCTACCGGTTGCTTGGTTCTGACCATGAACCAGACACCGTTGGAGTCACTTCCCAGCAAAGGACACAGCTTTCCTGCCCAATCCCAGCTCTCTGCACGCCACGCCAAGCCCCGAGGGCCCTGCACACAGTTGGTGCTCAGTAAGTGCCAGGTGCCTCTGCTAACTTCAAATTTTCCAGACAACCACAGGTGCTTCTTATAGCAGGTCAGCCCACTTTGTAAACAGATGAAGTGAGCCCCACCAACGATGTGCTTCCAACTGGGACGGCAGAGCGCCCCTCACAGGCAATCTGGAGAGCTGCGGCTTGGAGCCACTGGACCCCTAGGAGGCAGAGGGCCCAGGGAACCTGCTGGGCTCCACCTCAGACAACAGGTGCAGAATTGAACTAAACGTGGAGCCTCGATGCCCACCTGGATGACTGCTTGGGGCAGCCACTCCCCTCTCTGCCTTATCTTCCTGGATCCTCTTCTTGTCTGCTTCTAGGCCCACCACAGCCCCCACTACCATCACTGCAGTAAGTGCTACAGGTACATTCTAAGAAGCAGGGTACAGGGCTGTTGGAAGCAGGGCAAAATGAGCCCAGAAGGGGAGAGAGAGTTGTCTTCTGTAGGAACCTCCCAGAAAGCCTCCAGAACCTCTGACCTCAATCTTTCACACTGCCCTTACCCCAGGCAGGTGCAGGGACAAGGGGTCTGAGACCATGCTCCCTCCAGCATATGCTGGGATGCTGGGATCTGGGTCCCCCAAAAGCCTTGGTGCCGAAATTCAGAGCTATGGATGGTGGTGATGAATGGGGGGGGGGGAGAGGGTAGGACAGCAGATGTGCTATTATTTAACAAAGCCTTATCAATGGGGGGAGAAGGGTGGCCCTAGGCTGTGATGATGGTGGCAAAAGTGAACTAACCACCACCATCTGTGAAATGGGCCTGGTAGCCTGGATCTCAGAGGCTGCTAAGAGCATCAAACGAGTTAGTACTGGAAACCGCTTCCGCGTAGGGCGTCTGGCACCAAGCCGGCGCTCTGCAGCGGGTGACCACGGTCGCAACTGTGTTAGTTCACACTTGGGCATCGCCAACAGTGCCTCCTGTTCCAGACAGTGGCCTAAGCCCTGGGGAAATCCCACTAAGAGAGTGAAGACAGCGTACGCGAGTGGTCAAGTCCCAGCAAAACTGGCGCTCAGAACTTGCCAGCCTCGGTCCTTCTGGCCACCACCGATCTCTCCACCCCAGGTTTCGGTTCCTACTCGCCTCCGATGGGGACGGGAGAGCGCCCCTCGCAGGCGATCTGCGTGGCAAGTCGCGGCTGGTAGCTCTCCGGGGGCCCGCCCCCTCCGCCCCCATCCACCACCAAGTCCTCTCCCGCCTGCGCCCCGGCGGCCACCCTCGGGGGCGAGGCGGCCCGGCGCGTGGGAGGGGACGGCGCGCCATTGGCTCGCGCGCCGATCCAAGAGGAGGGACCAGCTCGGGCCGCCAGACTCGGCTAAAGGCCGGCGGCGCGGGGCGCGCAGTCCAGCCGACCCTGCCCTGCCCTGCCCTTCTTGGCCCGAGCCCGGCGCGGGCGGCGCGATGTGAGACCCTCAGCACCGCACAGCACGTAAGTTCGGGGCCCCGTCGCCGGCACCAGCCTCGCACCTGCCCGCCGGCCGCCGCCTGCGCATCGCCGCGCAGCCCGCCCGGCTTCCCGCGGCCCCGGGGACCGCGGCGGGGTGAGGGGGCGAGGACCCGGCGCGCGCCGACAGGGCGCCTCCCGGACATCCTGGCACCTGCGCGGGTTCCCCCGGACACCGGGAGTCCTCCCCGAGGCTCGGTTCCCGCAGCCCATCCGGCTTCCCTCTTCGGCGTTCCCTCCGCCCTACTGCCCCTCCCTCTGACTCGGTTTCCCTCTCTCCTCCCGGCTTTCAGCCTGCACGGGCTGCCGCTCCTCGGGTTATTTATTTCGCTTTCATGTCCCCCTCTCAGCCCCCCGCTTTCAGGCTCGCAGTCTCTGGTTTCGGAGCGAGCGAAAAAGAGAGCGAAAAGCAGTTTCTCCTTGGTCCCTGGGGTCTGACTCTGTTCCCCGCGCTCGGTTCCGTCCCCTCCCCCCTCGCGCCATTGTTCCCGGCCGGAGGAGGAGTGCGCGGCGCAAACTTGGGAGTTTTTCCCCTTACTCTGTCTTTCGCCCCCGCAGGGTCGCGGCCCCAGGTGGTGGCGGGATGGCCCCCTGTCCACAGGCCTGTCACGGGGGCTGTGAGAGCGGGAATTGGGCCGGAGAAGCCCAGGGTGGGGACGCTTGGCAGCCCGGATGGGGGCCCCAGCCCCCAGCCCTTGGTCTTAAAGTGGCTGAAGCCGGGGATGGGATGGGAGTGGGAGAGAGGTGCCGATCGGAAGGGGAGAGCAAGGTGGGACAGATTCCAGAGCCCCCAGCTGGAGAGGGGCTGGGAGGAACGCGGGTGGCGCCTCTGCCCCGGCCGGGGGGCGGGGAGGGGAAGCACAGGTGCGGAGAGGCGCCCGAACCCTCCCTGGCTCGCACGATTCGCACCGAGCTGGCGGGCGGTGCAGGGTCGCTGACCTGCAAGCGGGGGTCTGGGGGACCCTTTTCCGGGGCAAACATACTCGCCCCCACCCTGGGGGTCTGAAAGGAAAGGGCGGGAACGCCGCGCCCACCCCAGTTGCTCTCGGCGTCCTGGCTTGGCTGTTCCTCGCCTCCCCGCTCCCTTCCCCCCAGGGCTCGGGCCACCTCCTCGCGGCCGGGATGGTGGGGAGCGAGGCGGGGCGGAGGCCGCGAACCCCGAGTCCCCCCGGCAGCACGGCGCAGCTGGCCAAGGCCGCCCCGCCACCCTCACTTCCTGTTTGGTTTCTTTTAGACAAACTTTTGTCGCAAGGACCAGCCGGCGGGGCGACGTCCTTTGGGGTTCCCCCAGCCGGACGGTCCCTGGGGTCTTCACCCTTGGCTGCCCGCCAGGGGTTCTGGACCTGCAGCCGGGGAGCTCGGGGACCGGGAGGGCGGCGGGGTGGAGGATGGGAGCGGTGGGGGGTCGTTTTGTTGCAGAGCCAGGAGGGGGCAGTGTCCATCCCTTAGCCGCCGCCCAGGGCCGGGAGGAGAGATCTTTCTTTTTGATTTGCTACTAAGATCGGCTGCCCCGGCTATTGCCGGCACGACGGCAGCCTCACCCGCGCATCTTATTGTGTCTGAACCTGAGCGCGTTGCCCTGCCTCGCCCCGCCTCGCCCCACCTGGCAGGTGCACCTGTCCGCGCTCCGTGGCATCCCTTCCTCCAGGTTCAGACCTCGGCCCTGCCTGCGCTAGGCAAATGGGACCTAGAGTGACCCATGTGCAGAGAGGTTTGGGCTGCTCCTTTTGTCTGTTGAAGGCAGTTGTGGGGGTTTTGTTAGCCCAGAAAGAATGCTTGGAGCCGAGTGGCAATTGCAGTTCTGTGCTCCCCCCGGGAGGGGATTGTGTTCCTGGAGCTGACAGGGGAGGGGCAAATAGCAGACCCATAAGCAGACTGCATGGTGCACCAGCAGGTGCTGGAGTCTTGATGTCTGAGGTGGGAGGGTGTGTCTCAGAGACACTCCCTGCCTCAGAGGAGGAGAGGGGAATGAGCTGAGAGTTCTAACTCCTGCCCAGAACAGCCTGTGCCAAGGCCCCGAGGCTGGGACACAGCTAGGCTGGAGTGACAGCGTGGAGAAGAGATAGAAGGTACTTCAAAGGGATGGTGGAAATGTGAATTAAAAGATTCTTTTGGTGTGGAAAAAAATGTATATGAAATCTCTGCATAATATCGGGGTCTTAAGAAGTTTCAGGGAAAAATCAGCCTCATGAGAAAACTTGGCCTGGTTTCATTTTTTTTAGAAATAAATGTGTAATCCTGTTTCCTCGAACCTGTTGAAGCCCTTGCATAGGAGGCCAGGCTGGCTGAGATGGGGTAAAGCCCCACCCCCTTCCACCCCCCGACCCCTCTTCACAGATGAGGACAGAGATGTACTTGCGTCATCCTGGGTCTCCCAGCCCAGGAATAGCAGCTGCAACCAAGTGCCTGGCTCCCAGGTGCTTCCCCGGCACCCCACGCCTCCATTACTCAGTGACACTGGCCACGCCCCTGCCAGGGCAAGGCCTGGCTAAGTTCTGAGCGCACGGAGGGGAACACGCAGGCTGAAGAGCCTGGAGGATTCTGTGTCCTCTCCAGCCCTGGGCCAGCCTCTTCCTCGGACTCTCTGGCCTCCTGCTGGCAGCTCCCCAGGACTGCCCGGTTTCTTTTCCACCCTCCTTGCTGGCTATAGCAGCCCTGGCCTTCAAAGCTCTCCACTCCAGCATGGCACAAAGGGGCCCTGGCTGGAGCTGGTCTAGAGACACCGAAGCAGCCTCAGAGTTCCTGAGCCCTTGTCCCCAAGCATCCCATTCTGTATATTTTGTGTATATTTCCTCCTTGGTGAGAGGCAGGTGTTGTCACTGTACCCATTTACCAGCTGAGAAGACCAAGGCCCAGAGAAGCCGCATCACTGGCCCCAGGCCATTCAAACAGCAGGTGGTGGTTAGGATGTCAGCATGGAGTTGCGGACCGCTAAGCCCCAAACCTCAGTCTCTGGGGGAGAGACCCTCTGTGTTTGAGGCTCATCCCCGGGCTGGGTAGAGTCCAGAGACCCCTCCACCTGTCTCCCCCAACTGCTGCAGAAGACAGATCGCCACCTACTTCTGAGAAAAGAAGCTCAGCCAGGAGGGACACCCAGGAAACTTGGCTTCTTTCCTCCCTGCCACCTCCAAGTTCCTGAGTGGCACCAGGCAGGGCTGGGGCAGAGCTGAGCCAGGCATTCACAAGGGCTCCAGCCACTTGGGAACTGGGCACTGGGAGCCTAGAGCCAGGAGCCAGGCTGTCCCACCGATGGCACTCGCTGCCCTAGAGGACCTTGACATTTTCACTGGGCTGAGGGGGAGGCCAGGCCTCTCTGGCTTTCTCTATGGGTTTTGCCCCGTGTGAGTGGCACTTGGGACAGGCAGGACCCTCTGCATAACCCCTGTCTTCACCTTCTGGGTCACGATGGATGGGTGTCCCGGATGGAACAGGAACATAGCAGCATCCTGTATCTAGTGGGCCAGGCTCCCTGGGGATAGCCCCTTCTTGTCCCTGCCCTACCCTCTGTCCCAATGCAAACACTGCATGGAATATTTATTTGGTCCCCAAACTGCACGATGCTTACAATATAACTCTGGGTGTCCCTCTGTTTTTCTGGTAATTGGGCACCTTGAGTAGGCAGAGGACTGGCAGGCAGGTGGCAGGTACAGGGCTGGGTCACCGGGGTACTGAGGTTGAGGAACTTAGGAGAAATTGGAAGCTGGACCCTTAGGTGTTGAGCCGAGTGGAATTCCAGTGGCCCAACACTTTTTTTTTTTTTTTTTTTTTTTTGCCCATGACCTCAGCTGCCCTGCCTGAGGCCAGTGACTCAGGGCACACCCTCCACTGCCAACTGCTGAGGTTTGCGTTCCTCGAGGTTCTTGGAAACAGAGAGTGGAGTGTTCCCCTGACTTGTCATGGGCCCAGCTTTGCAGCCCGACTCCCACCCTGCTCCCTCCTGTCCTCAGCTTCACTCACCCCCAACCCCCAGCTCCACTCCACTCTGTGTCATCGGCACAGTCGGCAGCGATGGCGAGCAGCAGAAAGGCTGAGTTGATGACAGATAGGGGTGACGCGGCTGCACCCGCCCCCGACTCGCACGCAGCTTAGATGTTCTGTCCGAGGCAGGCCCCTCCCGCCTCCATCCAGGGCCCCACTCACTGACCAGCACTTTGAGGTCAGGGGCCACAGCCATGGTGTCCCAGGGCCCATACGCTGGTGGCTGCTGGTGAGCCATGGCTCTTGCCCCCTGGCTGAGCTGCCCTGTACCCTCCGGTCTATCCTTGCAAACAGGGCCCCTTCCCTCCAGCCTCCCCTTTCTGCCTCCTCATGCCCTGTCCCAGACCCCATTTCCAGCTATTTTGCAGCAGTGTGATAACAGAACAATACTGCTCCCAGCAGTCTTGCGCAGGCACGGGGGTGGGGGGCGCCTAATCCAGGAAGCCGGTCAGAAACTGGGGGCCCGCCAGGGACTTGGTGAGGGGCAATGCTGGCAGAGGAGGGCAGAGTGCAGTTTTGTGGGGCTGGGGAACAAGTTCAGCAGACCCTCCCCTCTTCCAGCACGCCCCCTCTACACACACACACACACACACACACACACACACACACACACAGCTTCTCTCGGGAGTTCCCGTTAAAGCACAGTTGACTTGGTTGGGATTCCAGTACTTCCATGTTCACTAGAAACAGACGCATAACTCTTTTGGGCTTTGGTTTGCTCATCTAGAAAATGGGCATGACAGTAGGGCCGTTGTCACTGGGATATGACAGGTGTCCCTCAGGGGCAGGTGTGCCTGCTAGATCGGGGGAAGAGCTATGGCTCCTTTGCATCAGGGTCTTTGGAAGGAAGTGGCCCCTTGGCCATGATGCTTCGGGGATGGCACAGAGGATGTGTGACTCACTGTGACTCATAGGGAGGCTTGGCATCTGTTAGGTGCTTTGGGCCCTTCCTCCCCTGGCTGGTCAGGGTTCCTGAGGCAACAGCCCTCGTGGCACAGTCTCCTTTGGTTTCTATGGAAACCGGGCTTCCTAGACAGGCTCCCAGGGTGATGGGAGAAGCCCGCACAGGAATGCTATCCCCTCCCCGTGGAGGTCCCTGCTGCTCAGTGCCACACCCGGGCCACTGTCCTGTGCCCTGGTAGCTGCTTTCCTTAGTGGCGCTCACAGCTGGTGCTGGGTTCCCAGTTGTGTTTTTCTCTAGGATCACTGCAAGCCTGGAACAGAGCTAAAGGCACAGCTGGAGTTCAGAGGTGCAGACATGGGGCTCAGAGAGGCATGGGGACCTTTCTGGAGTCATAGAGCCACCAGGGATGGGAACCGAGCCCTGGCATTCCCGGTCAGTCAGCACAGCATCCCTCTACAAGCTTGGCAGCCCCAGGAAGCCCCTCTTTTCCAGGCCCGGCCCAGCCTCTGGGGGTCTTGCAGGAGGTCTTGGGAGTGCTTCTGCCTGGCTTGCCTCTCTCTGTTCCCTCCCCCGCCTCCCCAGCTAACTCACTCATAAACCTTGCAGTCTCGTGTAGCAGGTGGGTCAGCTGCCTCATCCCATTCTCCAGCCAGGATGTCTACACGGCCAGGTTCTTCCTATCTGGGTCTTGAGCACCATACAAGGGAAGCCCCGTTGTCTGGTTCCCGTTGTGTCACCCACCCAGAGGCCACTGGGCCAGTGGGGGAGTGGGCAGATTTGTCCTGTCTCATTGCAAAGTGCCGTGGCTTCTCCCTGTACCACCTGCTTTCATGTGGCTGGAGGCAGATCTGCCCAGCCCGGACTTCGGCTCCCTGCCCCAGCAAGGGCATGGACGGAGCAGAGCCTCTGTAGGGCTGCCACAGCTAGCCCTGGATAATCTGCAGGTAGCGAGGTCCGCGCCCTGGGCCCCACGGCTGTTTATCACCCTATGCTGCCTTCGGAAGTACTTGGCTAGGCAGAACACCTGCCCGCCCCAGGATCATTCAGTGTTGGTGAATTCAGTCTAAGTGGCCTAGGCCAAGCATGGAAATGGCTAAGAGCTTGCCTCAGACATGGAGAGCCAACGGGTTTGACGAGGATGGCAATAAAGGGCCACACACACACACAGGGAGTTGGGGAACAAGCAGGCCTGGGGTTGCGGCTTCAGCAGGAGGAAGCCCTGGTGGGTTGCCTGGCTTGGCTGTAAATCACTCCACAGGAGGCTGGCCAGAGCCAAAGCGTTGGGGCTACAGTCTCAGGAGCCCTGGAGGCCACATGGTCCTCTGGGGTGCCTTCGGGAGGGAGCTGGGCCAAACAGGAAACCCAAGGGCTGCATGGGTTGGCTTTTTCCATGGTGCACGGTTGAGTGAGTGAAGAAAGGGAAGTGGAAGTAGCCCAGGTGCATGCCTGGACTGCTCCCTGTCTAACCACCAGCCCTGCTGCAATGTGGTCGTCTCTGTGTTTATCTCAAAAACAGTGACGGAGATCGTCCACCCACTGCTCATGCTCTTCCCTCCCCTGCCCCAGATGGCAACAATAGCCAGGGCTGGGCCAGGCTCAAGAGCTAGGAGCTCCATCTGAGTCTTCCACATGGGTAGCAGAGTCCCAAGTCCTTGGGCCACCCTCCGTGGCCTCCTAGGTACATTAGCAGGCAGCTGGATTAGAAGTGGGCAGCACTCAGATGGTGTCGCAGCTAGCCTCACTGCACCGCAGTGCCTGCCTCAGTGTGGGAGGACTGACCTGGAGGTACTGGAGGCAACTGCGTGGCTGGCAGGGGGCCCAGGATGGAGGATTGGGAGGCACCCTCTGTCCTCAGCTCGGTTAGGAGGCAGCAGTTGATGGCCCAAGCATGTGGGTCCCTGGCATCCATGTAGGAGAGCTGGATGAAGCTCCTGGATTCGGCGTGGCCCAGCCCTGGCTGATGCAATTTTGGGATATGAGCCACTGAATGGAAGATACTGTTTCTTTGTATCTTTCCTTTCTCTGTTTCCCTCCCTTTCCAACAAAATAAATAAAATAACTTCTGAAAATGTTTATTTTGGTAAAGAGGGTTTTAAAATCCATGCATATGAAAGGTCTTCAAAAAGTTTATGGAAAATGCCTATTATGAAAAATAAAAGCTATGAATGGAACTTTAAAAGATTTTTTTTTTTGCTCCACCTTTCTTTTCAATGTCATTGTCCACGAGTCTTTCTGATGTCCCTGTCAGTCACCAGTCACACTTTGGGCTATTTACCTTTAGAGAAGCGAAAACCTGTGGCTTTCCAGAAAACGCAGACACGTGTGCTCGACTCCATTCATTGCCTTGAGACCCTGGCAGCTGCCTGGTTGTGCTGCCATGAGTGGACGGGAACACAGAATGCCCCGCTCTGGGTCTTTACAAGAGCTTGGCTGAGGCCCAGCGGTCTTGTGCCAGATGCAGAGCCTGGGGCCTTCATAATCCCTTCTGTGTGTGCATTCGACAGGAGAGAGAGCTCACGTTGGCTGATTCACTCTCCCAAAGGCCCACACCAACCAGGGCTGGGCCAGGCTGAAGCCGGCAGCCAGGGACACTGCAGGTCTCCCATACACGGGCCAGAAGCTTAAACACCTAGGCCACTCTCTGTTGATTTCCCATAGAGCACAGCAGGAAAGGGAAGAGCCAGGACTCGAACCAGCACACAGATATGGGATGTGGGTGTTCCAAGCGGCAGCTTATCCTGCTGTGCCACAACACCGGCTGCTTTGTGGTGCCTTTGCACAGACAAAACTACGGCATGGGAGAGTAGATCAGTGGCTGCTGGGATGAAGGATGGCTGAAACAGCACAAGGTGGTGTGGAGGCTGTGACCATTGCTGCATGGCCTGTGTGGAGGTGGCAGCTCCGTGAATCTATGTGTGTTGAAATTCTCACAACTGCGCAACCCCCAAAAGGTGCATGTTCCCGCATGCCTTAAAGAACAAGGCCAGAGGGGAGGCTGGGCGGAGGCTAGGCAGCATTGGCTGTGTCTCCGCATGAGGCTCTCCCTAGCGGCTTTCCGGCCCCTCCTGGCCAGCTTGGCCCCACAGCAGGAGAGAGGCCAGGCTGAGCACAGCTTCTGTCCGGAGTCACCAGAAGATGGTGGCGAGGGACATGTAATGGCTTGGTGCCTTCCCCCGGGGGAGGGGGTCAGATTCACTGAAGATCCTGACTTGCCATTGACAGGTGTCCTGCTTCCAAATGCGAGCAGGTGTACCGCCTCCCTCGGCTTTTTCCTTCTCCAGTTAGATTGTGCTTTGTTTTGCTTTTGTTATTCTAAAACAAGGGCAGGTGCAAAAATGGTGTGGGGGAACACTTGTGCCCTCCGCCTGTGGCAGCATTGACCGAGCGTGCCTGAAGCCAGAGGGATGGACATAAATTGCCCTTCCCTCCAACTGACGCCACTTCTCTAGGTAGACGGAGCACCCACTGAAGGTGAGGACCAGCGTTCGGCTCATCTCTGCATCTTCGGTGCCAAGCACAGCCCCCTGTACACAGTAGGTGCTCAGCGCTGGTTTCGCAGGGTAGAAGGGGAGGCTGGAGACTTGGAGGCTGTGGGAGATCTTGGGGCCTCCTTTTGTGCCCCACACCAGGCCCGTTGCTTCTGGAGGGGAGGGGAGAAGATGGGGGTGGAGAGGGCTTGCTGGGTGGCAGGTGATGGGGCCCAAGACCCAAGTGCCCCCGCTCCCAGCCTCCTTCACCCCCATCCCCGCGGGAAAGCTCTGCCTAGCCCCTAGCCCCCAGTGTTTACTCTGAGGCTTACTGTGAGCCAGGCCCCAACCCAGCCCATTTTACCCACGGGGAAACTGAGGCCCCAAGTAGATGGCGATCTTAGCAAGGCCCTGAGGTTGGGATGGAGGATCTGTGGGGATCTGCCCCCATCCCCAGGCCTAAGAGCCGGGCTGACCCCACCATCTGTTCCCAGCGCTCCCCAGGTGGGGCTCCACGACAAGATGGCGGCCAAGCAGCCCCCACCGCTGATGAAGAAGCACAGCCAGACGGACCTGGTGAGCCGCCTCAAGACGCGCAAGGTGCTGGGCGTGGGCGGCGAGGACGACGACGGGGAAGTACACCGCTCCAAGGTGGGCACCGAGGGACCGGGAGAGCCGGTGGCCCTAGGGCTGGGCTCCTTGTTCTGGAACCTTCCTTGTGTGTTTGTTTAGGCGGGTGTGAGGAGTCGGGAGACTAGAACCGGAATGGCTTCTGGGATCAGCTGCTGCTTGGGGATTCTTTGCTCTCCTGTCCCTGGGGGATGGCGATGCAACGGCTAAGCCATTACATGCAGGGGAAGCTGAGGCAGGGGCCACCTCAGCTCCCCTGTAGTTGCAGCTTGTAGGTGCCAAGTGGAGGCAGGGGCTGCGTGGCGGCTGTGTGAGTGGACGGAGACACCCGGGTGGTGCGGTAGAGGTGGGGGTTGTGGGCGCTGCCTTTCCCGCTGCCCGCCTGACCTGCTTTGTCCACAGATCAGCCAGGTCCTGGGCAATGAAATTAAGTTTGCTGTTCGGGAGCCGCTGGGGCTCAGGTGAGCTCTGTGCGGGAGGGGGAGGAAGACCCCCATTTGGTTACTGCCCCCTACACCACCTTACTCCCTTCCCCCGGATGTGGAGGGAGGGTCCCCTGGAGCCCAGCTGTGACCTGGCTTTGTCCGTCCCCAGGGTCTGGCAGTTTGTCTCAGCTGTGCTGTTCTCTGGCATCGCCATCATGGTAAGCACCACCCCTCCACACAAACACACCCCGGCTTCCTCACCCTCTGTACTGGCACTCACTGGCATTCCTGGTCTCGGCTGCTGCCCCTGGCTTGGGGGGGCCCTCCAGCTTCCACTGTCTCTGACACCCCAACTCCCAACTCCAAGAAACTCCAGAACAGCTGGTCTGGCCTAGAGTGGTGGTGGGTGGTCAAGGACCCGACCCTCGACTCTGCTCTCCAAAGACCCTGCTCCGTGGGGGAAAGAAGGAAATCCCCCCCCCCCCCCCGAATGCCACTCCGCTCAATCTGCATCCACAGCCAGGGCTCAGAGTGCCCCTTCTGCTGTCCACAGGCCCTCGCCTTCCCTGACCAGCTCTACGATGCTGTCTTTGATGGAGCTGAGGTGACAAGCAAGACACCCATCCGACTCTACGGTGGTGCCCTCCTCAGTGAGTGCTCTTGGGTGGGTGAGGGCCCCCTGGGAGTGTCTCCCAACCCAACCCCTGCCCCATTGCAGAGTGGTCGGCCTCTGATGGGTAGATGCTGCCATCTGGTGGCCTTTGGTAGAATGTACCAGTGCTCTGGGACTTTGCCATGCTGCCTGCTGGGGTACAGAAGTGTGTGAGGCTTGGCTCTGTCCTCTGGAGTCACATGGCCACTCCACCCCAGACCCCAGGGCCGTCGGAATCACTAGTGTATACCGAGTTGCACCCAGTGACTCTGTTGGGCTGTTTTTACACAGCCCAGCAGGGGTGTATCCCTTCTTCCCCCCCGACTCCAAGCATTTCAGGGATCCCTGTGGCCTACAAAGTCAACCCCCTGTGTGGTTGGGTCCGCCTGCCTCCCCCCACCTCCTAGCTCACATTCCCACAGTGGGCAGGACCTCGCCACCCAAGGATACCCACTCCCCATCCTGGGACCATTTCCCTTGCTTGCACTCGGTCTTCAGTACCGCTGGCGTCCAAGTGATGGTGATGAAGGCTGACTTCACATGGGCGGTGGCAGAGTGCAGTGGAGATGGCTGGAAAGGAGGAGGTGCCCCCTGGGGCCATGGCTGCAGAGCCTGCAGACCCTGGGGAAACAAGGCTCCTGGGAGCACCAGAGGTGGAGTCTGAGCTCCTTCCCTCTGAGTTTCTTGGGGTGACCTTTTCCTGGGGCTCCCTGGAGAGGCCAAGGAAACGTGTAAACTCACCTTTTCATCAATGCCGAGTCCCGAGGACACAACTGGCTAAGGTCAGGGGCCACCCACCAACCGAACCCTCCCATCTTGCAGATGGGAAAATCAAGTCCCAATGAAACAAAGTGACTGGCCCAGGGACCCCTAGGGCCCTGGGAGCGACAGGCAGGGATTACAGCAGCAGAACTGAGCCTGGGTTGGGGGGTGGTGAGGAATGGGACATGGGATGAACAGGTTTTGATTGAAAGATGGAGTTGGGGTGGGGACTTGTGAAAGTGCAGGTCATCCACACCCCTGCGAGAGAGGGGGAGGAGCTGGGGGCTTGGGCTGTGCCACTGTCAAGCAAGGGTTGTCCCCTGCCCCAGGCATCTCCCTGATCATGTGGAACGCCCTCTACACGGCCGAGAAGGTCATCATTCGTTGGACCCTGCTCACTGAAGCCTGCTACTTTGGGGTCCAGTTTTTGGGTGAGTGCCTTCCACTCCCTGGCTGTGCCCTGCCGTTGCGCTCTGCTTCATGCTGTATAGCTGTCACCCCTGCAGTTTACGGGAGAGATGGGGACCAGGGGCTGCTGTGGCTGTGATCGCCTGTGCACCTGTACACACAGGCCGCACACCTGTGTCTTCCCGGAAGCCCAAGCTTGCCCTGGCCCATGCTACATTCACAGCACAATCAAGGGCTGCATGGGCCCTGCCCCTCATCACACCATGGAGGGCCCAGGGAGGCGGGCGGTAGGGAGGCCGGGTCCTGCATGCGCTGCCTGACAGGACACGGTCAGCCTGGGAAGGGGTGGTCCAGCATCCTGTCCCTCCCCTGACCTCCCCGCTGGCTTTTCTTTCCCCCACAGTGGTCACTGCCACACTGGCCGAGACAGGCCTCATGTCCCTGGGGATCCTGCTGCTCCTGGCCAGCCGCCTCGTTTTTGTTGCCATCAGCGTGTACTACTATTACCAAGTCGGCCGGAAGCCCAAGAAAGTGTAGCCAACCAGTTGCAGGGCTGGTGGGGAGGAGGAGGCTGGCTGGGGATGAGGGGGAGGCCTGCCCAGGCCTGAGACCTGGCTGGTTCTGGGGTTTCTGGGAGGCAGGAGGGCCCCTCCCTGGGCTGCCCCAGCTCCACTGCTGATGGGAGGCCTGCACTGTCCCCTCCTCCCGGGTGCCCTGCTCTCCGGGCCTTTCTGGTTTGAGATGCTGCCGTGAGGAAATGCAGGCCTTTGCACCTGCTTCTCACCCTACTCCCGGGACACCTCTGCGTGGGACTCTCGCACCCAGAGCCTGGGATCCATGGACCGAGTCGGGGCCAGGAAGCTGCCTATGTGTGAGGCTGGGGGCCACAGCCCGCTCCTTCTCCAGCGCCAACCCTCCCTTCCCCCACAGACCAGCCTGGCGCCCAAGCAGCTGAACTTGATTTCTGTCTTCTGCCCGGGACCCCCTGAGACCTTGACCCTGGGCCCTCACCCCTCATTTGGGGCCTTCTCCACCTCACCCCTTGTCCCCCTGCTCCTGAACACACGTACACACCTGGTCACGTATACACACACTGGCCACGCACACAAATGTACCCTTTCTCACTGCCCAGTACAGCTTGATGGGCAGTGATTGTAGGTGGAACTGGCACTTCCCTTTAATATCCAGTGGCCCCCGCTGCAGACTTGCTATAGGGTAGTTCGTGTCCACCCCAGGGCCTGGGGAATCCCCTCTTTAGCCTGCCTGGGCTAGGTCAGTCTACAGCCTCACGCATAGGCCTCCGAAACATGGACACAGGTACTGCCACATGGAGGCCACGTGGGAGTGACAGGGGTTGGAGATGGAGGAGCAAAGCCAAGCCGAGCTGTCCTCTTGGCCTGATATCCCTGGCCCAGCACCTCCCCCTAATCGGGTGCTGCCCTCTGGACTGGCAGCTTGACCCAAGATGACTGTGCAGGGGAGATGGGTGGAAGTTCCCTTGCTCCCAAGGGTGGTGGGCCCCCTTGCAGCCTCAGAGCCCCTTGCTAGCCTTTCCCACAGGCCCACCCACCTGTGCTGTGCGCCCCCAGAGCCCTTGCCCTTTGCCATTAGCACTCTAGGAATGGTAACCCCGTGGACAGGCAGGCACAGGTGAGGCGTCCAGGGCCCAGCCAGCTCTAGCATCCATGGGTCTGCCTTCCTGCCTGCCTACCTACAGGTTCCTGCCTGGCAGTGCTGCCGAGAGGCTGAGTGCTGCCAACACTTTGTTGGGGCCATTGCCTCCTGCTGTTTCCATCTGCTGTTCCCCAGGGCTCTTCTGCAGCCACAAAAGGCAGGCCAGGGGCTTCCTGTGGCTCCCCAAAGGCCAAAGCCTGGGGCCTATCATGCCGTGGTGGATGCTGGCTGGGTTGTCCTGTCTACGCTGGCAGCCTGGGGCACAGAGGGTGCCAGGCTGTGCACTGGGCACCTTGGGCTGAGGCCCTGTGACATGGACAGTTGGCCAAGCCTGGCCCCAGGTGGTTGAGGAAAGAGCGTTGACCCTGGCTGTCCAGCCATGCTCTTGGCCTTGGGACTTTGTAAAACATTGTCCCAAGTGAGGGACCCACACCACCACCCACAGTGAGGGTGGGGCCCAGGGGAGAGGCGAGGGTTGGCAGGAGAGGGACAAGGGGACCCTAAGATGCAGAGGAAAGGCCTGGGTGGTGTGGGCCTGCCCTGTGTTACCTTCCCTTCCCCATCTCTGCCAAGCTTCTGCCTGCATCCCGGGCCAGCCTCACCACCACCACCATTTCCCCCCAAAAGCAAGACCACCTTTCTTCACGGTCACTATTTATTCTTCGTTCCTTTTTTCTTTTTATAAGAAACAGTCACAAAACCAGTGCAAAACCATCCGTGTGGGCGTCCTGTTTTATATTACAAAAACTCTGGCTGCATCATATAAAAAAGGGGGCGAGGGAGGATCACACAGAAGAGAAACATAAGTTAGCTCTGGGATCTGTTGCAAGGACCAGCCACAGTTTGCAAAATAGACTTCCGACAAGGGGCCTTCAGGGGTGGGGGGACAGGGCAAAGTGCTGGGGCCGTGGCTGGCTTGGGAGGACCTGAGGAGGGGACCCTGGGTATGTATGGAGAGGGACTCTGAGAAGGCCTGGGTGTGGGCCTGAATCTCTTAACCCTGTCCCATGAGGACTCCAGGGGCAGGAGGGGCTCCTTGGCAAGTGGTAGTCAAGGCAGGGCGTGGCTTCCCAGGGAAAGTCTTGGATGCGTGCTGCCCAGTCCTGGAGCGAAAACCTTAAAGAGAGGCCATCCTGCCTGTCCCAGCAAGTCCTGTCCACTCTGCCCGTGGGCTTTTTTTTTTTTTTTGCCAACTTCCATGCCATTGTTTGCCTCTTCCAGGAGGTCTAGAGATGGGCACGCCCCAGGTCCCTCCGAGAGGGCTGGGGTGCCAACTACAGGCTCCACCACAACTTCTAAGGAGCCCCGGTTGAGTTTGCCATCACAGGCCACACAGGAGCAGGGCAGAGTGGCGGTGGGGAGGGAACAGGAAAAGGGTGAACAATGTGTACAGCAGGTGCACAGCTTCTGGCTGCCGCTCTCCAGGTGGCCTGTGAGCGCCAGGGTAGGCCAGGAGCTGGTGCAGGTGCCCGTGGCATGGAAGCAATGGAGGGAGAGGGGAACAGGCGTCTTGCTGCTCCTTCCTTCCCAGTGCCCATGGCAGACATTGCTAGTCAAACCTGAGGTGTCATTCATCAGGATTCCATTGCTCCCTCCCACGGAGTCCACTCGGTGCTTGGCCTCCTGCGGTCCAGCTGCCAGCACTGGCCTGGAACTGGAGGGCCTGTGTGTATGGGAACATCCCTGCCTGAGGCTGAAGGGGGAGCACTTGGAGATGTGACGTGGACAGGGCAAGGGCATGGAACGGGTCCAGAGGGCTTTTCGGCCTGGAGATAATGGGGCCCAGGGTGGGCCAGGAGGAGACGGTGTGAGTGGGAGGCCACGGATGGAAACAAGGAAGCTGGGTGCTGAATCAGTGGGTCAGAGGCAGGAGGCTGCCTGGGGAGGTAGTGAGCTCTCCATTCCTGGAGGTATGCAAGGCAGGGGAGAGTGTGGCAAGGTGCTGGCAGGAAGCTTGCAGAAGCCACCGATCCTCACCTCTGGGCAGGAGGAGAGAGAAGCAGGTGGTGTTGGGTTGCCTCTTCTGGGGAAGGGAGGGACAGCGGTGGCCAGAGGGACACAGAACTGTGACGTGTGTCCGTGAGTGTGTGTGTGCGGACTTCATGAGGAGGGGCACACAGCACAGAATTGTCTTAGCGGTAGAGCTGAGAGGGAGCCAGAGTTGGCTCGTTGCCGGGAGAGTCAGGAGGCAGATGTGACAGTATCCTGGACACGTGCTTGGTGACCGCGCCTCCTTGAGTATGTGGTCACACACAGACGGGCAAGTGACTGCCCGCTGGGCCCCTCTTGGATCCCACAGCTGCAAGCTGAAGTGGAGACAGCGCCACCCTCTGGTAGTCACGGAATTGCACTGCAGGCCCAGTGCCGGAATCTTCTTGGGGCCTCCTGGACAGTTTCTATGAGATCGGCTTTTGCTTCCTCAGTGGTGCAGTCCTCCTTTGCTTGGCACCGGGTCCTGAGGCCGAGAGGAGCGAGGCCCCGGCTGGTGGGGGGGGCGGGGCAGCAGGGTCTGGCCGGGTCGTGGAGCAGGGGGATCTGGGACTGGTCTCCGGAGCAGACCTGGTCCTGGGGCGGACACTGGGGTCCGTGGGGGAGTGCCCACAGCACCTGTCCTGGTGTCCGGGCCAAGGTGCGCCCGTCTGCACTTTGTCTTCATTTTTTTTTTTTTTGTTAAAAAAAATAGTTCTCTCCCCCCTCCCTTCCCCTGGCCGTGCTTGGTGGCCCCGTCTCCTCCCCTGGGGCTAAGGGGGCAGAGGGGAGGGGAGGGCGCTGGGGGCTGGGCGGATGTGGGAGGGTGAGTCTTCAGGCCATGCTCTTCTACTGGATGCCCCGGAAGAGGCACATGGCGAAGACCATGACGCACAGCTGTGGAGAAAGCAGAGGTCAGCCTGACGGTAGGCAGGCAGGTGGGTACCGTGACCCTGCACTGGGCTGCCCATCCCACCCCAGGGTTACCACTCCAGGAAGGACTCAAAACATGGACCCATGGGTGCAGATCCAGCTCCCTGACTCGCCAGCAGGGACCCTGACACAGCGCTTCCCTTCTCTGTCTGAGGAGGCAGCGAGGCACAGAGAGGTCACTCAACTGACCAAGGTCACACAGCACATGGTGGGAGAGGGAAGGAGGCAGTTAGGGTTCCAGTTTGGGCATTCGGAGCCCAGAGCCCATGCTCATCACTACTTGTGTAGTTCGCAGGGCACTGTGAGTGACACGCATGGCAGTTCTCTAATGTTGCAATAACATGTCGCTTAATAAAAAGTGACCCACATTGTGAATAGGCAGGATGGCTGCAACCCCCTCAGCCCACTGGCTCTGTCCTGGATATCTGACAAGAACCCTAGAAGTGAGATCAACAGAGACCCCGATTCAGGGACAACCTTCCGACCACAGAGGTCGCTGCCCCTCAGGCCAGGCAGGTAGGAATGCACATTCCCACTCTTTCTCCCACAAAATCGCACAATAGGAAACCAAGCAAGGTGCCTTGATGTGGCCATGTGCTCAAAGGATGGCGAGCTGAGGACCAGGCTCCCTTCATGGCCCTGTGAGCCAGGGGCATGCTGGGGACCCTCTGTGGCGGGGCAGAGCTCCTTGCTGGCCTGGGAGGTACTGGGCTATGCTGTGTTCCAGTCGCCCCAGGGCAGCACGCCACCTGGTGGTGACTGTGAAGTCTGCAGCAGCTTGCCTTGGGAGAGGTGCGCTGGGACCCCCCCAGGGAAAGAGGCTAGGACTGCCACTGTGAGGGTCCCACGTCCCACCCTAAGCACTGAGCGTCCACCCAGAGAAGGGGACTACCTGGAATCAGTGGCTGCAGCCCCTGCCCCCTCTGCCAAGGCACATTTTTAATGTGGAGCTGGGAAAGTGGAGGGGCACTCTTAGGGCCTCCCAAGTGTCACCTGTCGGGGATACCAGGGTGATCCAGCAGCTGACCATCCACAGTGCCCACAGGCGGGGGGATTGGGAGGCTTGGGGGTACAGGCCATGGGGAGAGGGGTTCTGCCCCAGGCTGCACATGAGGCTCCCTGCTCCTGTAGCAGCAGAAGTGGGGGTCCCCACCTACCTCAATGGCCAGGACCCCGATGGCCAGGGCTCCAGCCAGGTAGACATAGGTCTCGAAGGCATTGAGGATGACTGTGTAGCAGCCCTGCGGGGGAAGGGCCAGAGGTGAAGCAGCAGCTGGGGGGTAGGGCAGGCTCAGAGGGCAGTGTAAGAAACAGGGTGTGTGGCAAGCGGCCCTGGAACTCAGATGGTACGGGGTCTGCCTGCCAAGAGCCTCTTAGGATGGGACAGTGGGGAGGAGGTGGGACAGAGGCAGCCCACAGACCCTGCCATCCGACAGCCTCACCACCAGCTGCTAGGGCAAGGCCAAAAGCTGCCAGCTGCAGAGCATGCCTGCCTGATGTCACAACGACAGGGACAGAGATCTTGGGAAATTCTCTACAAACTTCTGTGAGCAGATCCCCAGCAGGGGCAGGTGTCTGAGCTCTTTCTCTCTGTCTCACTCTTCCACACGTAACCTCAAAGGGAACATGCAAGGCATTGGGTCCTTTCCTGAGCACCTGGTTGACCTGGTCACACATGGTACCTGGAGGGACGGGCAGGTTTGGGAGGCCTCGCTCGGCCTGCACCTGCCACAGTGCACCTGGGCCCTACCCATTCCATCCCAACCACAGACCACAGCACCAAATGGCCTTCAGGCCCCTAGACTTCCCGGGGTGGGTATTGAGACACCCTGCTGGGGGCTGGTGAGGGATGGGGCAGAATGGATGGCCACCACCACCCTCACTTAGGTGCTCTCCCTGCATATGGTCACTGCAGCACTCAGTGGTGAGTGGAGGTGGGGGGAGCAGCAACCAATAGGCTTACCTGCCTTTGACCTACAGGAAGGGAGGCAAAGAACTGCAGCCCCAGCACCCACAGGAGGAGGGGAAGCGGGGTCTGCCCTGAGCCGTCCGTACTCCCTGGGGCTCTACTGCAAAATGCAGGGAGCTGGGTATCAGCAGGGCCTACTCTGCCTTAGTGGGCCTGGGCCTGTTCAGAGCCCACCCCTGGATAGCCCTTCACTCCCTCTGCCTGCCCCCTTCCCCCCTAGTAAACAGAAGCTGCTCCAACACACAACGCATGGCTGATCAGCACCCCCATGAAGTAGCTTACAGGGAGCACCTCCTCCTGACCTTGGTAACCAGTGGCCAAGGTAGTCATCTCAGAGCCAGTCCGTGACCATGCGAGCCCTGGGCCACCTGCCACCCTGCTTTCCCCTACTTGGGTCCATGATCTCAGGGCAATGCCATGGCCTCTGGCCAGTCCTGTCCAGGTCACAGCGACACCTTCCATGCAATTCCAGGGGAGTGCCACCACCACCCTCCCAGCCAGGTACCTGCTGGTTAAGAAAAGGGCTTCTTCCCAGGAGGCACTCCTCCCTACTCAGCAGGACCCCGTCCCGGGCCTGGGGCTCCCGGCGGCAGCACGCTTCGGGCACATCATCACTGTCCACGCTCAGGAGTCGGAACACCGATGCAACCTTGAAGTCCTCGGGCCCGTTGACCCCACAGCAGCCGAACTAGAAGAGCAAAGAGAAGGCATGGGAGTGGGGGGAGGGGAGGAGCCGCCCCGGCACAGGAGAACTGAGCCCCTCCAAAGACCCCAACGGGGCTGAGGGTCTGGCTTTGCCTGCCCTTCCTGTATGACCCTGGAGAAGCCACTCAACTTCTCCAAGCCATCCATGGCAGTGGCAATTCCTACCTTAACATGCACTTGGTAAGTGCCCAAGAAACTGTTACTATGTTACCATAGCTTGGGAGACCCCAGCCAGGGTAACCAAACAGGTTGCACCCCAACTTCAAGCTATAATCCACTGTCAGGGTTGCCTGGCATGCAGGGTGGATGAGGGCTGTGGTCGATTGCTGATGTCTGGTACAGGCGTGGGAACAGGGAGGAGCAGGTGCCCTGGGCCAGGCAGCTCCAAATGGTCACTCACCGTGATCATGACCGAGTTCCAGGTGGCAGAGAAGATGTCTGTGTCATTGTTGCCCTGGTAGTGTTTGGTGAGCTCCTTGGTGAAGAACTCGCGGGTGAGCTGGTGGCAGAGGGTGAGTGGCTGAGACCGGGCAGCTGGGTGCAGCCCCTCACCCATGTGCCCTCCTGCCATCTGCTCTAGATTGGGGAGTGGGAGCACCCACTCGGTGTGCACCCCTGATGCCTGAGGCAAGGGTCCCCTGTAGCTTTTCTCAGCGGGGAAGGGGGGCTGTCTTGGACTTGAACCATGGTTCCCAGAGTTGTTTTTATAAGATACTCCCGCTCACCAAATATTTTCCTGAAGACTGACCATCCTTTGTCTGGCTGACTGGGCCCCACTCTCTGCCCACAGCCAGATGCCTCCACCCATCCCCACCTCTGTCCCCCAGGACAGCTCCCTTGCCCCTCCTGAGCCCAGGCTATCACTGAGGGGCTGGGAACCTGGGCACTCCTGGGAGAAGGTTAACTCAGTAGAGGTTGGGGACCCTGGCATCAGGGGGGCATGGATGGAGTCAGGGGCCACGTTGTGCCAAGAGAACAGTGTGGATGCCAGGGTCGGGGACACAGCCTGGGCATCCAATGCTTTGGCAGTGCAGATTCGTAAAGGTCTCCTGGAACCTTCTAGAAAAGCCTTTGCAGAAAGAGGCTGGCTGTGCTGTTGGTCATGATATGGGTTGCACACACTGGATGAGGGAGTCTGCCAGCCCTGAGACCCTCTGAAGAAGGGTGGGGCTCGCAGGTGCTAGTAAGAGGGGCAGAGCCTGGGGCACTGGTGCTTACGTTTTCCCTGAAGATGAAGGCTAGGATGGCTGCGGAGAGCTCTGCCAGGAAGATAATCAGGATGAACAGAAAGAACTGAAACGAGAGGAGGTGGGTTCCTGAGTGCCCGGCCTGGCCATGGGGTAGGGGTGGGGGGAAACACGCCTCCCTTTGTGCCACAGTCTGGGCCAGCATCCCACTTCACTGCCACAAGCCAGATGATCTTCATGTAAGTCACATCCACAGGCCACCCTTAGAACAGGCCTGCTGTCTGTACTTGACCATGATGCTACAGTCCCCACGGTCTCATTTCATCAGGCTGCCCTACTCCCGGGCTGGGTGGCCGCTGCGTGTCGAGTCCTCCACCTCTCCAGCTGCTCCTCTCTGGGGACAGTGATGGAGACTTCTGGCAGAGGCCCTGGCACATCCGCTGGGCTGGTGATATGTGCTCCCTCAGCTCCACTGCAGGAGACCTTTGCCACAAGCCCTCCTACCCGCTACCCGCTCACTGGGAGTTGGGATGAGGTACTTGCACGGTTCTCAACCACAAGTGAGGCAAATGACACAAGCATCATGTATCTGAGGAGCCCAGCACTCTGGGGGGGGGGGGCACATGCATGAGATCTGTAGTGACTGAGTGTGGTTTTGATGAATGGAAGAAGACAAGATGCTTTGTCTAAGGTTGGCAGCTGCGGGTGGCTCGGATGGCTGCTGAGAACACAGAGAAAGCACACTGTTGTGCCCGGGCACTGGTACTGGCAAGTGTATCCCTGCAAAACCTTAGCAGCACCCCCGGGCTGAGGCCTGACCACCCAGGCCTGGGAACTTTCTGGGCAGCCTACGGGGTGTGGGGAAACAGGGGCTTTTAGCAGCAGCCTCTTTCCCACTCACTGCTGGGGGCTGTGACTCTAAGCAGTTGCGCTTTGCCTGAGCTGGCATAACTACTTGATGCATACTAGAATATGCTGATGCCAGGGCAGTCTCTTAGCACCATGCTATCCCCAAAACCCCAGAACCTCAGGCTGAAGGTTCCCCGATGGCCTGGGGCCTCTCTTGTGAGTCAGTGCCGAGTTCTAGAAGTTAAGTGGTGGATCCCATAGCCCTGAACCCCCAGAGTCAGGCTTTTCCTAACACTTGGTGCCACTTTCTCTCTGTCCCTTCCTTCCGGGGCTCTCCACAGAGCACTGGCTCTGTGTCAGGCACAGTATCCACTACTGACAAGCAGACACATGCAGGCAGACACAGTGCCAGGGTGCATGGGGTGGAGCGTTGTGGAAGGGACAGGAGGGGGGCAACTTATGGCTTCCCTAGAGGAAGCAGGGACACAGACTTCCCTGCCATTGCTGCCACGTGGGAGAGGGGCTCCCCTAGCACACTGGCTGAGAGGTGTTCTGAGTGTGTGAGAGCACATGACACAGGGAGGTTTACTGGCATGCCCCCCACAGTGGCAACAGTGCCACCCTGCCAACCCCCAGGCTGCTTCACAGTGTGAGGACTGGAGGAGCTCCCCTATAAGTTGTCCGACCTGGAGCTGGTCTAACCTCATCCCATTGGTCCGAGACGCCATTTGGTAGCAATTCTTTCTGAACATCCAACTTACTTGGGGACACCAGCTCAGGGTGGACACCGCGGTTTCACTCCCCCCCACCCCAGGGAGCATTTCCACACTCTTCCAGCCTGCTGCCTAGGAGCAGTGTCTGCTTTCAGGTCTCTTTCTAATTAGCCCTTCTCCGGCGACATGCCCCATGCCCAACTCAGTTGAGTCATCTCCCTCACCAAGGCGGGCATCTCAGGATGACTGTCACGGAGTGCTGCTTGGGACCCCTTTATCCCCTACTGACGTGCTGACTTGGGTCCCCAGTAATTCAGCTCTGATCTAGCTCCCTTCTGATGCATCTTGGGAGGCAGCACAAGATGGCCCAAGTGCTTGGGCCCTGGGCCACTCAGAGGAGAGACCTGGAGGAGTTCCGGGCTCCTGGCCCCAGTCCTGGCTATTGTGAGCATTTGGGGAGTGAATTAGTAGATACAAAGTTCTTTCTCTCATTCTGACTTTCAAATAGAGTTTAAAAAATCAATAAACACTTAAAAAAATACGTTCAGCCCTTTTTACCATGTCCTTCCCAACTTTGCATGTCTTCACTACAACATACTTTAAAAATTGCTGGGGTCCGTGTGATGGGTGTGGAAGACAGGAAGGTGTGAAGAGTATTGTTCCATTGCAGGCAGGGCTGCCAGGAACTTCCCGCTGTTTGGGATGTCTCTAGGACCACCTGAATGAGCTCTGCCTCTCTTTGCATGGACACCCAGCGACCCCACTGAGAATTCTATAATCTATTTAGGCATTGTCTGCCTCTGCGGAGTTAATATTTACTTGGAAGTTGATGTTGCTGATACTGTTTTAGCCAAAGGGCCTTTTATTCTTGCTGTCCCCAGGCGTAGTGGGAACCTATGCTTAGGGTTTTCCCTCCCCCATTGACCATATGCTAATCAAGGGTGTTCTGTCCCCAGGTGTAAGTGGGAATCTATTCTTTCCCTCTTTCTTTGATCTTTAGGTCCCTCCTCTGTGAAGTCTTTCCTTCCTTAACTGACACAAGAATGAGGATTGTAGTAGGAATGTGTTACTGATTGATACGCACCATCTATTGAGAACTTTTTCCTAACCACGGGCACCAGGATGAATAACTTCCTGGCCTAAGGTGAAACAAATGGCAGAGTTATCTTTAGAAACACCCACTTGACCATGACGGATAGAGTCTGAGCCAGAGTTTGACTGATTTTGTATAAATAAAGCGGACAGCTTTTGTGCATTGTCCATTATGATCATGAAATCCTAGTGGTCCGTCTTTCTTTGTGCCTCATCCACGCACCCCTTGTGAGTTCCAAACTCAGCTGGAGCTGGACTCCAGCAAAAAATTCAACTATTTAAATAAACTGGATGCAAAGCATCATAACTATACTCAAAGGAGAGCAAATCAGGAGAAAGAGTTACCACAAAAGTTCAGCTGGACTTGCCTATTGGCCACGGATGCTGGGAAATCGATCCACAGGATCCAGTCTGGAAATGTATCCTCCCGCATGGACATCAGCAAGGAATGTGCTCCCACGGCTCAGACTGTCCTAGGGCCTCAGGTTTTGCAGCCTCAGAAAGGGACAGGGAGGCTCCGGGAGCCCCTAGCTCCCAGCTTGCTCTTCTCTCAGCCAACATTCCTGCCGTGTCTAACACTGTTCTTCCTCAGCCACTCTCAACACAGGCCAAGCCTCCCTCCTTGCTTCTTGGAGCCTCCACACCCTTCTCTTGCTGGATTCAGGTGGAGAAACTTAAGTGCATCTTACATTCTAGGTGGCAACCATTTTTGGAAACCTTCTAGAAACCACTGTGCCTCTCTCCAGCAGCTGTATTTTCCCACACTCCATTGTCTAGACACACTCACAGCACACCTGTAGCCACTTCACACACAACACACACATGCACACTTTACATGTGCTGCACTGTGTGCATTCTCACCCCATACATGTGTGTGCATACACACATAAGGCACAGTGCTTTAACACAGCATGCTCACACAGCATACGTACACACACACACACACACACACACACACACACACACACACACACACACACACACACCATGACATAGCATTATGCACATGATTTTAGGAGAATTTTAGCCCATCTGGATTTGTTCCAGGCTAGAAGCCTGCGACCCCCTTAGCCTAGGAGACAGGATGCTCTAATCTGCACCGCGACCTCAAGTGAGCAGCTGCCATGCTTCAAAGGGGACAGGGAGAAGAGCTGGGCAGAGGCAAGGAGAGGGCAGGACAGAGGCATCGCATGGGGCAGGGGTGGACATGGTGAGACTGGAGACGGGGATGGGGAGACGCGGAGCTACAGAAACACCTGAAAACTGAGGAGAGATAAAGGGAAGGAGATGACAAAGGGGCTGGGGAAAGTCAGCAGCCAGGTCAGACCTCCCGCACGAGGACACAGGGCCGACTTGGTGCCGTTCCAGAGCCTGGCTGTGTCCTGTAGCGCATAGGGACTGAGGTCTTGTTCAGCCAGCTGGCAGGCTTGCTACAAGCCTCTTAAGCCAAGGCCCCTGCCTGCTCCCTGCCAACAGTGCCGGCTTGGCTTCCTGTCTAGGCTTCAGATCCTGGCTCATTAGCCATGGATAAGCCCCCCGGGACCAGGGTGTGGCAGGGAAAAGGACGATTTGCAGTGTCAGGATCCCAGGACTTCAAGTTCCCCTCCAAGCTCCCCAGCCAAGACGCTTCAGTGCCCTGAGCCTCCACCAGGGGGTACACGTGTCTTTCCAATGTGTCCATAGGAAAAGTTCACAGGTTGATGTTGCTAGGAAGTGGGGCGTCCCCAAGCTCCCTGGCCGCTCATTTCACAGCCCATTTCACTTCCTCTCAGGATGTGCAGCATCTCACTGGGCTAGGGGCGAGGGCCGGGCCGTGTGTTCTCATCTTAGCCACATCTCTGCTTCCCAGCAGTCCCTAGCTGGGCCATGTCACCCAGGCATTGGTTGCCAGGAGGCACCATCTTTCCCTCTCCATCAGGCTCAGAGAGGTCAAGAAACTAGTCTGGAGCTACCCAGCTAGAGGGGAGGGGCAGGTACACGCTCAGAATCAGGTCTGCCCGCCACTATGGTGTCATCACCTCTGTTCCCCCAGCCTCAGGCCATCCACCCCTGCCCCATCCACCCCACCGTGCATCTTCTGTGCCCTGGACAACAGTTCAAGTTTATTTAATAAGTAAGCAGCCTTCAGAGACGGGCCCTTTCTCTACTCTAGAACTGAATGTGTGACGGCAGGCGCTGCATCCACCAGCAGTCTCAGCGATGCTACTAAGGGGGCAGGTATTACAGTCTTGGCAGGCAAACAAAAGAGCCTTGGGGCCAATGTCAATGGCTCAGGACCTGGCTGTTCACAACCTGCAGGTCAAGGTCAGTCTCCAGCTGGGGCTAGAAACGGAACCCTCCTCCAAAGAAGGCTTGAAGTCAAGGTTGGGGGCTCCCTGTTGCCGGAGGGCAGCTCAATGGCTCTCACTGTAGCCTAGAGCATGCATCACTCAAAGGCCCTGACATGAAGCAAAGTACAGAGGGCAAGAGGAAGGGCCGCTGCATGACCATTCCCACAGGCATGGTGGTGGCAGGGTCATGACCCAAGATTTCAGCTCCACCCCCTAAGCCATAGACTTCCCATGGGGCTCTGGGCTGGACACACTGATCCTAGTCTCTTTTGCCATCCATAGTCCTCTCTGCACCCCTAGTACGAGGTTCCTGAACCAAAGCAAGCAGCCCCACTCCACACCATGCCCACTGCCCAGCCCTCCCACCCCGGAGCACCCATGGGTGCGCATGGGGGCATGGATACTCACAAACAGAAGCAGACACTTGTTCTCACGCACAGCCCCGCAGCAGCCCAGGAAACCGAGCAGGAACAGCAGACCCCCCATGGCCAGGAGGATGTAGGCGCCAGTGATGAGCAGGGGGTTGGCTGCCACGATCTCCCGGAAGCCCGTGGGATCCACCAGGACCCAGATGCCGACGCCCAGCAGGCAGGCCCCGCCCAGCTGCTCGTGAGGGGAGGAGGGGATGTGGGGGGTGGGAATGGGAGGGAGAAAGAGCAGACACGGAGGTCAAAGGTCAGGCAACATGGATGGGACAGAGGCCCAGCACTGGGCAGGGGCTCCCTTAGCAAGGTGAGTCACAGTCCCAGCAGTGGTTTTAGTTGGTCTGGAATTTGGGGGGGTACTCTTTCCTCAGAGCCCAGTTTCTGGGCTACACCCCACCTCAGCTGTTCATGGAACAGATTGGTTGCATAGAACTCAGCACTGCGGGGCCTCAAGTCCTCTGATTCTACACTGAGGCCCAGAAAAGGCTCCCAGATGGCTGGAGGTCACACAGCGAGTGACCAGGGAGCCTGGAGGGACACTTGAGAGACGCCCATGACCTTCACTGAAGACGCTGGCCTGTCCGGTCCACACAGTGACTAGCAGAGCCGGCAAGTCACCCCAGGCTCTCACCAGAAGAGCAAGGGTGGGCCTCACGGGCCTCCGCGCCCCACGCCTCGCTCTTCTCTGCACCAGGGCAGCCGATACACACAAGAGGCTGTGCTACTCATTAGCTGTATGATCTTGGGCAAGTGGCTTCACCTCTCTGAGCTTCAGACTTCTCACATTTTAAAGGACAATCCAATGGGGCACCTTCTGAGGAAGGGAGGCCAGAAGGCACATGGACATGATTAACCAATGTCAGCCAGTCTCCATTCTGGGTTTCTGGGGTGCAGACAAGGACTGGAAGTGGTCATGTCACAAGGAAACTTAAAGGTTAATACCAAAGGGATCTGAGGTTGGGAGCCACAGAGGGGTCTGAGATTGGGAGCAACGGAGGCACCTGCAAGCTGTGCTGGACAGCCGCTGAGCCGTGACATCACCGAAGACCCTGGTCAACTGAGCAAGGAATTGCATGACTTGGGAGACAGTTTGGGGTGCCGTCAAGGCATGGAAAAGAGGCAAGGAGCCCAGAGGGGCCCTGGGTGGTGCAGCAGGGAGAGAGAAGGGCAGACTGCAGGAGTGGCCAATGACCAGTCCAGGTAGTCACCTGCTGTGCTGAGTTTGTCTCCTCCCCACACAGAAAACCTGCTCCTCCACATTGCTGTAGGATGATTGAGGGTTCAACAAGTGTATGCTAAATTCTGCTGCTTCAAAGGGGGCTCAGACACAGGCTAAGGTGGCCCTGGGCTGTGGGGCTGCTGGGGCTGGAGGAGGAATGGGCTTATCTGAATCATGCTGAGGGCCAAACAGAGGACTTGGGTCTAAAATTCAAGTCCTCAGTGCTCCTGGCTCTTTTTAGGGTAGCAAGCATATATGGAAGGGGCTAGATTGTCTAATTCATAGGCGGATGCCTGCATCCCTTAGAGGAGAGCTGGGTTCCTGTCCCAGCTCTGCTCCCAATTCCAGTGCCCTAGGAGGCAGCAGGGATATCAAGAAATTAACTAACTGGAGTCCCTGCCACTCCCACGGGATACCTGGAGGGATTCCCCAACTCCTGGCTTCAGCTTGGTCCAGTCCCAGATGCTGTGAGCCTCTGGGCGGGGGGTCGGGTGGGTGGGGGGAATCAGTGATTGGGAACATTCTCTTTCTCTTGCAAGATAATAGAAATTCATAAAAATGTTTTTAAAAATATAAGAGAGAAGGGTGAATCAGGGCCAGAGAGGGAGGCCTCTGTTCTCGCCCAGGCGTGGACCCTGCAGGACATCAGTAGCACTGAGTATTATTAAATCTGAAAGACTGACTCAGAGTCAGGAGAGTCCACAGTTCTGCCCCTGGGAGGCTGCCCAGGCCTGAGCAGAACCTTCCAGAAGGTTCTGGGCCCCTGGGTGTACCTGTCGCTTCCTACCGTGTGTGACCTACAGGCTGGCTAGAAAAAGGGCTTGACCTTGTGTGCCACAGTGCAGTAGGCTCTCAGTAACCTACTCTGGCTTACTCTCCCAAGCACCTTCTGAGGTCAGCCACCTGTTGAGGCCCTGAGAGGGGAGCTGGATGGAAACTTCCTTGGCTTTGTTTGGATGCCCTCCTGGCCCAGCGAGGTTGCTAAGTCAGCAGCCTCATTGCTCAGCCTCTGCAGCTCTGGATGAGGCAAACGTAGCCGTGGTGTGGGAAGCTGGGGGAGGTATCTTCCCTCTGGATGGCCCCACCCCTCTTCTCCACCCCCTCTGCCTGTCAGGAGTTACATCCCATGATGGCATCCCCGACTTTTCACAGGGCATGTCCAGCCCCAGCTCTGTGGGACACTGGTGGGCTCTTGGGAGTGCGGTGGCCACCGTGGGGCACTCCTTGTCTTTTTAAGTTCTGCCTCCAGTGCTGCTGGCTCTGGTCCTGCCCCAGATCTACAGCCCACAGGAGTATTTTCAAGGCAGAAGAAGCCATGTCTGTCCAGCAGGGAGCCTGGGGCAACCCAGGGATACTCACAAATATGAAGAAATTAAAAACAAACATCAGGTACTTCATGCAGCTCAGACAGTCGCCCTCCATGGTGCTCCACCTGTGATACACAAAGACACCTCAGCATCTCCATGCTGGGGACCTTGCCCAGAAATACAGCTGCCATCCTGACCCTCTCCAGAGAGGTCCCGGCAGCCACTCTTGGGGAACAGGAGAGCTGAGAATTTGCCTTGGCATGTGGGGGTGGCGATGGGTTCCATGCGGGTGGAGGAAGCAGAGGTTAGGCTGGATCCTGCCTGCTTCGGTATATACATTGGCTGCATGGTATTTGCTGTGGGACCCTGAGCAAACTGACTTGCCCACTTGAAGCTGGAGAGGAAAGCTGACTCTTCCTCCAGGAAGAGCAGAGATGGACTGAGAGCTTGGTCAGAGGCCCAGCATGGTGTCCAGACTGGTGGTGGTGGCAGCTCACAGACGGCAGGTGTGATGAGCCTTCTGCCTGTCCATCTGGGAGATGTGAATACGCAGGCTCAGCACCTCAGGCCACAAGCTGGGATCAGAACCCAGGCCCAACACACTTCCCTGCATGCACCCTCCAGCCACAGGGCTGACCACGCTGGCCCCAGGTGCCAGTCAGGTGGGTGTGGTCAGGAAAGGAATAGACATGACCAGGAAGTGGAGCTCACCAGGCCCTCCAACCCAAGACCTCCCCATCCCTGCTTAAATGGGTGCCCAAGGCAGGGAGGTGGTACATTTTTTAACACAGTGCTGTCCAGCCAGTATTAACTAAGCACCTTATAGCATGCCTGGCACTATCTCGCAAACCCAGCCCCCAAGGGAGAGAAGGCACCCACACTTTCTTCATCATTGCTCAGGGCTGGGAGTAGCAATCCGTGACAGATGCAACACCTGAGACCCAGAGGACAACAATGTGCCCCTGTCCCATGGTCATCAAGGCTGGGTAGGGCTGGCCTCCTAGCCAGTCCTGAGTTCCCTTTGGATGTGCCATTAGGGTAGGACTTGCAGCAAAGCATGGGGGAGGATGGATTCGGGGAGATGGTGCCTCTTTGAGTTCTGCAGCTGCTATGTCCTCCCACGGGCCACAGCTGGACTCAATTTCATCCCCAAAGTCGGGTGAGTGAGTCTGTGAGGCTTATTTATTAATACCATCATAAACATTGTGCTAACATCATAAGCATTATTGTAATATTGGAGACATTAAACATCACATTGCACCCGAGACACAACTATTCTCAGTCAATTTCAAATAAATCAGAGAGCTGGGAGATGTGGTGTGGTCTGTTAAGCTGCAGTTACAACACAGATATCTCCGGTTAATGCGCTAGTTCGAGTCCCAGCTGCCCTGCTTCCCATCTAGTTTCTTGCTAATGTGCCTTGGAGGGCAGTGGGAGATGGCCCAGGCGCTTGGGCCTCTGCCACCCACATGAGAGACCTGATGGAGTTCCTGGCTCCAGCTGGCTCCAGGCTCCAGATGGAGAGCCTGGCCCAGCTCTGGCTTTTCTGGCATTTGGGGAGTGAACTGTGGATGGGAGATCTCTCTCTTTCTGTCTCTTTTTTTTGGGCAATCTACCTTTCAAATAAGTAAATAAATAAATAACTCTTTTTAGAAACAACAACCATAGCAGCCCGTGTTTGAGGAGCCAGGTGCAGTGTCACTTGCTTGGTGTATATCATCTCAATTCCTGCAACAACCAGGGAGACAGAAGACAGAAGACCAGAGGGGCTGAGGACTTTGCCCAAGGCCACACAGCTTGTAGGAAGCAGTGTCAGAGCTCCTGGGTACATGGTGGGCACTCAGTCTCCTTTGCCCAAGAACCAACACCCCCTTCAGTAAGCCAAGACAATTCCCCCTCCCAGAAGCATGGCCGAGGCCTCGCTGTCCCTCCTCCTATGGCCTCCACCAGTGACCCTGCAGTCTGCCCAGCAGCCAACCTGGGAAGGGCAGTGGCCATGACAGCACTCAGGGGCCCTGGAGGGGGGCTGACAGGCATACTTGGCATTTGCTTGAGGTACTGGCCTCTGGCCCCTGGGGTGGAAATGGGGCAGGGCTTTGTTCCCAGGAGGGCCCCTTCCCCTTGGCACTGTGCAGCCGCAGGGAGGACACTGTGGAAGAAGAGCTTAGCAGGTGGTGTACCAGCAGGGCCACCCTATCTGGGGACAACACCCCTTCCCTCCCCTCCCCTCCCCTCCCCTCCCCTCCCCTCCCCTTCCCTTCCCTTCCCTTTCTTTCGTCCATTCTTTCTTCCTCCCTCCCTCCCTCCCTTCCTTCCTTCCTTCTTCCCTTTCTTTCTTTCTTTCTTTCTTTCTTTCTTTCTTTCTTTCTTTCTTTCTTTCTTTCTTCCTTCCTTCCTTCCTTCCTTCCTTCCTTCCTTCCTTCCTTCCTTCCTTCCTTCCTTCCTTCCTTTCTTTCTTTCTTTCTTTCTTTCTTTCTTTCTTTCTTTCTTTCTTTCTTTCTTTCTTTCCTTCTTCCTCCCTTGCTTCCTTCCTTCCTTCCTTCCTTCCTTCCCTCCCTCCCTCCCTCCCTTCCTTTCTTTCTCTCTCTCTTTCAGAAGTGGACATCGAGGCACTGAGGCACTCAGCGATGAATGCAAGGCCACATATCAAGCAAATCATGGTGTGACCTTGACCCAGTGTCCTGAAGATTTTTGCTTGAATTGGAGAGGGACAGAAGGAGAACAGGCCAAGCTTTTGCCTTGTGAGTCACTGCTGTGTGACCTTGGACATGCCTGATCACTCTCTGATCTCTGTGTCTGTAAAATGACAGAGCAGGGATCTGGGAACCTGTCCATTTTCTCCTTGGGGCTCTGAGTGACACTGGGGCCGTGGGAAGGCAGAGTAACACCAGGCTGGAGAGGCCCCGCTGACCTCCCTGCTGCCTGCCTGGGCACAGCTTGTCTCCAGGGTAGGATCCTGTGTTTGCTGCTTCTGGCTGTTGAGCAATTAAGGAGCAACACAGATAGCAGCTCCCAAAGGGGCTCCTGGATTTATTACGTCCCACAGTCAAGTCATTGCAAGCTGAGCTTGCGATGAAAGGAGATGCCGCTCCTGCACCTCCGGGGAGCAGCCCCTAGCCACCTCCAAGGAGGGAAGAGGAAGACAGAATGTGGAGTTGAGTGGTCCAGCTTGAGGGCAGCTGGGTGAGTGGGAGCTGGGGGCGCAGGCTCCTCTGCGGCCTCTGAGCTGTGTTCCTGAAGGCGCAGGAGACCCAATCACGGAGCATGCCACGAGGCAGCTAACGCCAACACCAGCAAGCCCCAGCGGGTGCATCTTGCTCCTTAGTGTGTGCCAGGGAATGCAGCAGCCCAGTAAGGTCCCCTCCAAACTCCTGGAGATAGGGAATGCCACTGCATTCTTCAGGGGAGAGAAGTGAGACCTGGGGAGCTGCGGTCACTCATCCAAGGTTCCACAGACAAGTACCCCAGCCAGATCTTGGACCTCCTCCTCTCTGACTCTGTGGCTGCATTCTAATCAGGATTTTCACTGCATGCCAATATTCTTGCACATTTAACCTCCTGCAAGGCACAGTGCATCCTCACACTGCCCTGCCACTCTAGGTCCCACTGGCCACAGGGACAGCCTCCTGGTTCATCATTCCAGGTCATCATCCTGGACACTGCCAGGCTGAAGTGAACAGAAAAATCCTCCCCAGCTCCCCCCTGCCACCCCCGCCACCCACAGAGGACTTCTGAAGGTAGAGACACATTTTCACAGCCCATTGGACAGACCAGAATGACAGACACATGGACATCCAACTGCTGCCTGGATCTGGATACTAGTTCCGCCTCCTCATAGAACCTTCTATAAACTAAGTTATCACTAAACAATTCTGCTTTAATTTTCTAAAGAGGAAGTGAACTTGAAGAAACTCCAGAAAGGGGGACGGGCAGGGGGCTGAGAAGAACTCTGAGCCGTCAGAGAGAACTTCCATTTGTTGGTTCACTCCCCAAATGGCCACAATGGCCAGAGCTAAGCTGATCTAAAGCCAGAACCAGGAGCTTCCTCCAGGTCTCCCACATAACCACAGGGTTCCAAGGACTTGAGCCATCCTCTGTTTTTTCCAGGCCATAAACAGGGAGCTGGATAGGAAGTGGAGCAGGTGGGACTTGAACTGGCACCCATAGGTACTGACCATGGGTAGAAGATTAGCCTACTATGCTATGGTACTGACCTCTGTTCTCAGTATTTCAATTTATGGCTCAGAAATGAACCCATTATCATAGGCCAGATTAACAGGGAAGTATCAGGCTAAGTGTCTTCGGTTTGGAGGCAATTAAGCTGCATTTCTCAGAAGTGGTGGCCATGGGACCAAGGCTCTGGAGAAGCCTTGCTGAGACAGTGCTCTTAGGTGGGCAAGAACCTTAAACCCTGGAGCCCAGAGATATGGAAGGGAGAGTCAAGTCACAGAGAAACTGACTCATTGCGACGTCCACTCCCTACGTGAGGGCATGAAGGGGCTGAGGTCCTGCCTGCCCTTCCATGTCACAGCGGCTGTCCGGGGAGGTCCCCGGGGAGGCCCCCGAGGAGGGAGGGCCCTGGATCTTCCCTGGGTTGTTGGTGGGGGGTTCCTCATGATCTCTAGACTCCTGCTCAGCCTGTCACAGCATGGACAGTCCTGCACTTAACAGGCATTAATCAAACAACCCCAGATGCGCCCACCTGTCCCCAGTGTAACAAGGGCCAAGGAGTATGCAGACTTGGAGGGAATCCCAGGGAACCTTGACTCAGAGGCCACTACTTGTCTGAGCACCAACCTAGATCCAGTCCTTGGCGACTTACGCCACTGGCATAACAATAGCAGACGCGCCAAGACACTCATATCCTGGCCATATCTGAGTGCCTGGGTTCAAGTCCCAGCCCTGCTCCTGGCCCCAACTTCCTGCGAATACAGGCCTTGGCAGGTGGTGATCAGGTCTCTGGTACTCATGTGGGAGACCTGGATGGAGTTCCTGGCTGTTGCGGCCATTTAGAGAGTGACCCCCCGCATCCGCCATCTCTGCCTTTAAAATAACAAAACACCTTATACATAAAAATCAGCAAAGAAACAAAAGAAGGTCTTGTTGAAGTAAGGTCAGGAGGCTTTGATCAACACCCTCATGGTTCTGGTCATGGGCACAGTTGTGCTCCGAGAGGTGCCTGCCCCCAACAGTTCCCCCATACATATAAGCCAGAGGAAATGAATGAGTCTGTGCATGAATGGATGAATGCATAGTGGGAAGAGAGGAAACAGACAGCAAAGGAGAGAGTTAGACCAAGCCAGTCAGAAGGGGAGAGGAAGGCAGAGCAAGAGGCAGTGCCATGAGAGGCGGAGGGGCAGACGGGCCCCTCAGGCAGGCCGGAGGGGCTCCGAGAGGGCAGAGGCGAGGTGACTGTGGATTGATCACCTGGGCAGCAGTTCAGGCGTCAGCAGGATGCGGTCTCACAGCCAGCGAGGCTCGTGTCTGCTTCTTTGGTCAGCCCAGTTTGTCCTAGAAAGGAAAATCTTCAATTACTCCCACAGATCAATACAAAGTGGTGGATGAAACCTGCCACCCCTCCCATCCCACCCCCAAAGCACACGCCCAGGGACCAGGTCTTGCTCATCGCAACCCATTAGAACTAATGAAAACCTCTCAGCACCTGGGGACACTCCAGCTGGGGCGGTCCACCGTGGTGCCCACCTCTGCCCATGAGGGTACCCTAACTGGGACAACGGGGCAAGCTACATCGCCATGATGTGTGTGGTTTCTGGCTATAGCTGTTTTTATGTTAACCTGGTTGCACAGGACCAGGGAGCTGGAGGAGATGGTGGGCTGATTTGCAACACCCCTCCCTGGAAACCCCAATGCTTGGAAGAGAGGAATTTGAAGCTGGAGAGGTTCCTTGGTTTGGCATGGGATTTACCAGAAGGTTCTCTGACAGGGCTGCTGCCAGCCATGGGAATCAGAGTTTCAAAAGTCAAACGAGCCCATATGGAGATTCGTGTTCCAGCACACCTGAAGGGGATTCCCCCACCAGATCTGCTTCAATACTGTTTTGTGAGAAAATCCCCGGGAACACACATGGCCCAGGGATCAGGGACTGTGCTAGGTGTTCATATAGCGGAGGAACAGGGACATTTCCAGATCTCAAGACACCTGCCTATTCAGAGTCCTTCCCATTCAAGTGCAAGTTAGCCTGGGGTCAGTGAAGGGGCAGTGGGTAAAAACGTCCTCTTCATTCACCCCTTCTCTCTCCTTTTCTTTTCATATCCATTCATCTTCCAATCTAATCCACC